ATGGACCTGTGAGTCCTGATTCAGTTGAACCTGTGAGTCCTGATTCAGTTGGACCAGGAAACAGGAGCGGAGTAGGAGAAGGTCCTTTTGTCTAGTTCAGTCCTCACTGAGGGAACACTGCAGGTAATGATGTCCTGAGAGCGCACGCTGTAGCTGCACTCACACAGAGACATGTAGGAGGAGATGTATGAAGGCAGCAGACCAGGAAGTGATTTAAAGATGGAAATGTACCAGTGAGAGTCTGTGTGAAGTTATTGGTGTCCAGTTAACCAGTGAATACTGGGTGCAGTGGTGGGTACGGTAGTTACAGCCAGTTATGAATCTTAGTGCACCATGATAGACAGCATCCAACATCTGCAGCATCCAACATCTGCAGCATCCAACATCTGCAGGGTTCTTGTGGCAGCGTTCATGCAGTTGGTTGGTTCTAACAATCATTTTATACATTATTTCTGTTTTTTTATCTGCTTCCATCTATTTTATATAGTTACTATAAGTTGTTAAGCTAGAAATTATTATATTGCTCTCCATTTATTATTAAGATAGATTTTATTATTTTTGTTTGTTTTCGTCTTGCAGCCCATGGACTCCATGCACGAGAAGGGCCTGAGTGAGGAGAGCCGCTTCAGTCAGATGAAGGGGATGTCTATGAGAGCAGGGGGGCACAGCGGTATGGGCCCCCCACCCAGTCCTCTGGACCAACACTCACAGGGTGAGCAACACCACACACTGCTCTTTAGCAACTTCTCCAGCGTTATGTCAGACGATGAGTGGCGTTAGCTCAGTGGAGGGCTCAGAATCACACCTGTTTTCAGGGAGAGTCTTGCTCTTTAACCAGCTGTGACATGTCAATCATAGGTGCAATGACATGTGTCAATCATAGGTGCAATGACATGTCAGTCATAGGTGCAATGACATGTGTCAATCATAGGTGCAATGACATGTGTCAATCATAGGTGCAATGACATGTGTCAATCATAGGTGCTATACCTTTTTAAATTAGGACTACAAAGATGCAGAAATTCAGAGGCTCATATGATGCCACGGGCAAATCCCAGCCGGGGGTCTTCCTGCGTGGAGTTTGCATGTTGTCTCTGTGCTGCGTGGGTTTTCTCCAGGTACTCCAGTTTCCTCCCACAGACCAAAAACATGCATGTTAGACTGACTGGTAACTCTAAATTGTCCCTAGGTGAGAAAGAGAGAGAATGGTTGTTTGTTTCTATTGCTGCGTTCACACTGCAGGCAAATGTGGCCCAGATGTAATTTATGAATTTTTTGCCCCATGCGACCCATATCAGATTTTTTCATGACAGTCTGAACAAGACAAATTAAATTTTTTAAAGTTTGACCCAGGTCTTTTTTTGATACATATCCAATGTTTGTCAAAGCTGCTGCAGTATTGATGTAGCCAATAGGACCACATCATCTGCAAAAAACAGAGAAGCGATCCTAAGGCCACCAAAATGGATCCCCTCAACTCCTTGGCTGCACCTAGAAATTCTGTCCATAAAAATTATGAACAGAATCTGTGACAAAGGACAACCTTGGCGAAGTCCAACTCTCATTGGGAACGAGCCCAACTTACTGCCGGCAATGTGGACCAAGCCCTGACACCGGTCGTATAGGGACCTAACAGCCTGTATCAAAGGGCCCGGTACCCCATAATCCCAGAGTACCCCCCACAGGGCCCCCCGAGGGACGCAGTTGAACGCCTTCTCAAAGTCCACAAAGCACATGTAGACTGGTTGGGCAAACTCCCACGCTCCCTCCAGGACCCTGCTGAGGGTGTAGAGCTGGTCCAGTGTTCCACGACCAGGACTAAAACCGCACTGCTCCTCCTGAATCTGAGGTTCGACTATCCGACGGACCCTCCTCTCCAGAACCCCTGAATAGACCTTACCAGGGAGGCTTAAGAGCGTGATTCCCCTGTAGTTGGAACACATTTTACCATTCCCCTTTTGGAATAGGGGGACCACCACCCCAGTCTGCCAATCCAGGGGAGCTGCCCCCGATGTCCACGTAATATTGTAGAGTCGTGTAAGCCAACACAACCCCACAACATCCAGAGCCTTAAGGAACTCCGGGCGAATCTCATCCACCCCTGGGGCCTTGCCACCGAGGAGCTTTTTAACCACCTCGGTGACCTCAGCACCAGAGATTAGAGAGCCCAACCCAAAGTCCCCAGGCTCTGCTTCCTCAGTGGAAGACGTGTCAGTGGGATTGAGGAGGTCTTTGAAGTATTCTGTCCACCGACCCACGACATCCCATTCACATAACATCCAGGGGAAATTGAGATAGGTAACCTTCCAACCTTTTTTTTCCTGCTTGCTCTTGACGAGGACGTACGCTTTCCCTCCTGCTCCTGCCTCCCTCCTGATTTGCTCTTTGTCTTATGATTCCTATCAGAGCCTCTCATTACATATCCTCTGAATTGTAAATTATGGATCTGATCAGCTGGCCTCTCAACACAATTGATCAAATTTTTTCAACGAGAAGACAGGGCGATGGAGAGCTCTCATGCCCTGCAGGGACACTTGCAGCTGGATAAACTATAGATTCCTGGGGGCAGTGGAAGATGGTGTCTGTTTGATTGTCTGTTGAGGATGTAGAAGATGCGTGCATGAATGGATTTATGATAACCAAACCCAACTTTGGAATAAGTGGAAGATAATGGATGGATGGATGGATGGATGGATTTCTGCTTTTTGCAATTGGCAGGTAACTGGCATATCGACAAACTCGGAAGACAGTGGCAGCGGTTCTGGCAGTTGTAAGGCTGCCTGCCTTGTATGAAGGAGTGTACCGAGCGATGAGCTCTCAGAGTCAGACGCTGCATGAGCTGAGCCGTAAGCTGGACGCACTTTCTGAGAGTCACAGGCCACTTGCAGCTCCTGGGTTTCACTGGAGGGAAGGAATCGACCTTGGAGAAGGCTACAAGCTCGGTCCAATGGTGTGACCAGAAATTTTTGCTGTTTGAAATCGCCTGTGAGACGTACCAGCAGAACTATGAAGGCAGACATGGAAATTCAAGCGGAGGCTGCCTGACCCAAAATAATTGTGTTATCTGAATTTGGCTTCCCCACTCGGCCTTGAATTGGCCAACTATCTCAACTTCTCCTGGTTGTTAATGTGAACGAGAAGCTCCGCTCCCCACCCCTCCCATCACTCCCCTCCTGAGGACATCTGTGGATCTGTGTCAGAGTTGAACCGGCTGATAGACACTGTGCCATCTTTATCAGGACTATGGAACTTTCTGGCAGTGTCTGCAGACAAATCACTGCCCTCATCTGCCTCCTCATTCATAAACAGTATGTTGCTGTTTCATATTCTGACATCTTTTTTTTCAACTTTCAAATCTCACACTGTGTCCTGTCACACAGTGTGAGATTTAATTTTTTTTACACCTACACTCACCCACGTGCTTCTTTTTCCTTAACTGAAAAAAGGGCTGCGCCTCTCGAGGCTGGCGGCCTCAGTCGCCTCTGTCTTCCGGTGTCTGATTGTTTATGTTGCTCTCGGACGGGCTGTACTGAAATGCCATTTCGTTGTGTTTTGGTGCAATTACAATAAAGCTGATTCTGATTCCAAGGCCGTCGCGGAGGCAGATTCAGGTATCAACATGTGTTTTGGGTCAGTCCGAGCTCTGTTCATTTCTATCTGCCTTCTACAGTCTCGCCAGTACACCTCATGGCGACTCCATTCATTCGACCTTTATTGACTCCAAACAGCCAAATTGTGATTGCACACACCAAGTCAAGCTTACAACTTCTCTGAGATCTATTCCTTCACGCTAGCGAGATTCAGGTGCCACAAGTAGCCTGTGATTCTCAGCAAGAAGTGTCTGCTGTCCCCAAGAGCAAGCAGGTATATATATATATATATATATATATATATATATATATATATATATATATATATATATATATATATATATATATATATATTATAAGCAGGTGTTCAAATACTTATTTGCGGCTGTAACTCACAAATTAATTATTAAAAAATCTTACATTGTGATTTACAGATTATTTTTTTTAGATTATGTCTCTCACAGTGGACATGCATCTAAGATGAAAATTTCAGACCCCTCCATGATTTCTAAGTGGGAGAACTTGCAAAGCAAAGTCGCAGGGTGTTCAAATAATACTTATTTTCCTCACTATATATATATATATATACATATATATATATATACATATATATATATACATATATATATATATATACATATATGTGTATATCAAAGACACATAATAGTGTGAATACTGAGTCAGCATTTAAACTAACATACAGTATATATATATATATATATATATATATATATATATTCCTGTTTAGTGAAAGAATGACTGATGATACGTGAAAGAGATGTTTTCCTGAGAATTAGTTTCAAATAACAGCCTGACAGGAGTTCCTCAGGGTTGGCTAATGATTCACCATGTGAGTAATGCTGTGATCTTAGGAGCAGGACATGGATCTGACATTAATGAAAAATACACAGAGCTAGATGTAAACATAAAGACTGATTCCAGAATAATAGTTGTAGGAAGTACTTAAGCTAGTGATACCTCATTCTGTGCCTTGTTGTTTGGCCCCCTGGTGATTAAAACTCTGTCTCTTTCTGTTTCTGTCCTCCAGGCTACCACTCTCCATTAGGGGGTTCTGACCACTCCAGTCCTGTTGCATCTAATGGACCCCCATCTGGTCCCCTAATGCCATCATCTTCATCCTCCTCCTCTTCCGTTGGTCCTGGGTCTTCCTCAGCCTCCTTAGACGGCCCCAGTGGAGACCAACACTCCTTGGGGCCTAATAACAGGCCTGGGCCTCCAGGTAGTTCTGGACCAGTCCCAAGCTCTGGACCAGGTCTAGGCTCTGGTGTCTCTAGTCTTGGCTCTGGTCTTGAAAACAGTGGCTCTACTGGTCCTGGTGGCCCAACTCCCTTCAACCAGAACCAGCTCCATCAACTCAGAGCCCAGATCATGGCTTATAAGATGCTAGCCCGGGGCCAACCTCTGCCGGATCATCTCCAAATGGCCGTTCAAGGAAAGAGGCCGATGCCAGGGATGCAGCAGCAGCCCATGACCAACTTGGTCCCTGGAGCTGCTGGAGGGCCAGGAGGTGCTCCAACAGGACCAGGGCCTGGACCAATGGGCTCAGGCTACAGCCGAGCTCACGGTGAGCATGCATGAGGACTGTGAGCTGCCTTATACACCTGAGGTGTCCAAATGTTTTAGGTTCCATCCATCCACCATCCATCCATCCATCCATCCATCATCCATCCATCATCCAGCCATCATCCAACCATCATCCATCCATTCATCATCCATTCATCTGTCCATCCATCCATCCATCCAACCATTCATTTATCCATCCATCATCATTCATCCATCCATCCATCCATCATCTTCCTCTTGTTCTGGACTCAGGTCTCGGGGGCAGCATCTTGAGCAGGGAGGTCCAGACATCTCTTTCCACAATCACCTCTTCCAGTTCTTCTGGGAGGACTCCGAGGTGTTCCCAGGCCAACTGAGAGACATAGTCTCTCCAGCTTGTCCTGAGTCTTCCCTGGGGTCTCCTCCCAGTCGGACATGCCTGAAGCACCTCCCTAGGGACTTGCCCAGGGAGAATCCTTACCAGATGATGACCCACCTCAACTGGCTCCTCTCGATGTAGAGGAGCAGTGGTTCTACTCTGAGTCTCTCCTGATAACTGAACTTCTCACCCTGTCTCTAAGGGAGAGTCCAGCTCTGCAGAGGAAACTCATTTCAACCTTCTGGATCCACAATCTCATTCTTTCAGTCTCTACCAGAGTTCATGACCAGAGGTGAGGGGAGGAACGTAGACCGACCAGTAAACAGAGAGCCTTGTCTTACAGCTCAGCTCCCTCGTCACCACAACGGACCGGTACAGAATCCGCAATACTGCAGATGCTGTACCAATCCATATGTCAGTCTCACGCTCCATCCTTCCCTCATTCGTGAAAAAACCCTGAGATACTTGAACTCCTCCACTTGAGGCAGAACCTCACCCTCGTCCTGAAGAGAACAATCTTTAGTTGGGGTTAGTCAACTTGTTAGGTTCTGGTGTACAGAATAGTGTCAGAAAATACCTGCAAGCCTGCTATAATAACAGTTTATGACTGCTAGTTTTATACTTTATAACAATTATGTCAAAATAGTGTCATTAGCATTTATCTGAAAATTGTATTTGATTTCTCCAAATCATCTGAAGACCCTACACTTGCTATTTCATGACCCATAATGGCGTCTGGACCCCAACTTTAGGAACCGCAGTGAAGCACAGTTGTGAAAAAACTTGTCTAGCTGAATGTCCTAAAGAGATTCACCAAACTGCCAAGTTTTCTCAGTATTTTTTAATATAAGTGATGAAGACTATCTGTATTTTTGGTTTGATAGGAATGATGGGGCCCAATATGCCTCCCCCAGGTCCATCAGGGACACCAGCTGGAATGCAAGGACCAAACCCAAATGGACCTCCAAAGTCCTGGCCTGAAGGTTTGTGGTCTTGATGTTAGGTGTAAAAACAACTGCTGTCCTAGTTGTTGTGATGTAGCAGCAGCATCAGGACCAGTGCTGATTCAGCGTTGATGAAAAACTCTTCATGTGGACAAAACGTAACAACAGAACACTGATGTTACTTTGAGATGTGATGAGAGGCATGGCTGCAGGTTTTCCTTCCTTCCTACTTCTTCCTCCAGGTCCCATGGTGAACGCAGCAGCCCCCTCTAATGCGCCTCAAAAACTGATCCCCCCTCAGCCCACGGGCAGGCCTTCCCCTGCCCCGCCTTCAGTTCCCCCAGCTGCTTCGCCTGTTATGCCCCCACAGACCCAGTCCCCTGGTCAGCCAGCACAGCCTCCTCCCATGATGCCTTACCACGCCAAGCAGAACCGCATCACACCCATTCAGAAGCCCTGCGGCCTCGACCCCGTGGAGATCCTGCAGGAGAGGGAGTATAGGTGCGTCATGCACACCTTTAGAACCAGGGACAAGCATGAACTGAACATTTAGGAGTTGTTGTTTCAGGTTGCAGGCTCGGATCGCTCATCGCATTGCTGAGCTGGAGAACCTTCCCGGTTCTTTAGCTGGTGATTTACGCACCAAAGCTACGATAGAGCTCAAAGCTCTCCGCCTGCTTAACTTCCAGAGACAGGTAGGCATCGAGACGTTTTCAGCTTCGACCTCACCAGGAAAGCTTTTGGTTCCTTGTAGATACGTCAGTGTTTCTTTAGTGCCGGTTGTTTTAGAGTTTATGTGTCTGCAGCTGCGTCAGGAGGTGGTGGTGTGCATGAGGCGCGACACGGCTCTCGAGACGGCACTTGATGCCAAGGCCTACAAGCGAAGCAAACGTCAGTCTCTGCGGGAGGCTCGCATCACAGAGAAACTGGAGAAGCAGCAGAAGATTGAGCAGGAGCGCAAACGTAGGCAGAAGCATCAGGTGAAGCTCAAACTGGGATGTTTGTGGTATCCGTAGGGATGCCAGTCCATAACCACTGAAGCACCATTTTAAATATTATTCACTCACTGACAAGTTTTTATTTGCAACTGTTCCCACAGCTTTGGTATATCCCACATAAAACACATTAACCATTAACACATTAAAGCATGCAGCTCAGTCAGTAATAATATGTAAGGACTTGTCAGAGCAGAACACACGAGAGACGGCAAACTTCTTCCCATGCACAATGAGAGCAGTTTGAGACAAGAAGTGAGAAAAGACAGGAGGCAGAGACATGGACAAAAAGACAGGAGGCAGAGACATGGACAAAAAGACAGGAGGCAGAGACATGGACAAAAAGACAGGAGGCAGAGACA